ACTAGTAACTGTGATTTGTCGTTTTTTAAAATTATTTTATAGTGATCACTATAGTCTTATGTTTAGAATGTCAAAATATGTTCTCTTTTATTTTAAATTTGAAAGTTTTACTCAGACGATCGATGAAATAAAACAGTGTAGTGACGTGCCGAGTAACCTGCTAAATAACGAGATAATTCCGACGTCAAATTCTGTTTTGTCCAGCGACAGTGTACAAACGTGCGCCGGTGTCGGTGACAATCACGGTGACCAGCTACACCAGAACGGACATATTTCGCATCTAACTCAACCCCATGCAACAAAATTTATACTATGTGTTCATTAAGGTCCATTCTTCCTCGACGAACAAGTACATAAGTGACAATTTAGTCAAAGACGAGAAAACTGCACAAGAAATTTGCCTTATTTACACGTATCGGCAATGCAAGCTGCCATGCGACTTCCCCTTCTGACGTCACAAGGGGAATTTCTGTATGCTAATGAGGAGCCTCGTTTTAAAATACACAAAAATAAAGTTGCCGTAGACTGAGTTTAAAACACATTTTTTCACTTAAAAAAATAATTCATGCTTAGAAACATAACAATTAATAATATTTATGTATCAATGGATAATTTTAGGCGTGAAAATAGCAGCCATTTCACAGGCACTTTAAATAACTTACATTGATTACATGTTGCTTTTGATCTATGATAAAAGTTGATAAACATAGAAGTGCATTACATAGTGCCTGCGAGCCACCAAATCTAAGAAATATATGAAGTTCGAGTATGAACAGTCGGTCATTTGAATTGGATCTTAGCTAGTCATTGTTAATGCCATGTATACACCAAATTTGAACAAAAACTGAATGCAAAAGATTCCGCATTTTCAAAAAACAAAATGGCTGCCAGTCAGCCATCTTGGATTGAATCAGTAAATCACTGCATGTACATTCCAAAGAATGAACAGATTTGGCCCCAGAGATCCAGTTTCAAACTTTGTTCAACATGGACTATAAACAAAATGATATGAATCAAGATCCCATAATGTTCAAACCAAGAGTGAACATATTTCTGAATAGCCGGGATCTGCGTCTGGAAGAACTGCTCGATTTTGTTGAGTTTTTAACACAAAACTCGCAGACATTCAGCCATCTCAAATAGCATTGTGAAATAAATGGATGTGCATATTTATCTCAGCCCATGATCCGCCCAGACATACCCAAGATATAGGTAGAGACACAAATGCACAAACCCATACACAGTTTCTATTTTTGAACAAAAAGGGACTGGAAAAAACAGATCTAACTACAGTATCCATTAAAAATCTTTATTTCACAGAATCTTGTCAAATATGGTTATTTTTTGAAACCATTACAAGATGAGCACTGCTGACATAATACTTAACGGTACACTAAAACCAGATATGCAAATACAAATTGTGACGATACGATAGGATAGGATAGGATTCATAACTTTGCCTATATATCCTATAATTGGGACGATTTTAGAAAAGATATTCTTAACAACATTCTGAAGTTCCATCAAAAACACGATTCAAAATTATCATTTAGAATGTACAGCTTTGACTTTAAATTATAAACCAAAATCAAAGAAAGCTTAGAAAGAACTCCCATGTGCTGAGAGTATTGGAGACACATTAAATATAATTCGAAATTACTTAGCTGAAAACTAATTATGCAAATCAGAAAATTAATATGACCAGATTTGAGTGTAAAACTAATGAGGTCTGCGCAATGTAACAGAAAATCTATGTCTCCAAGTTTAATTGAAATGTGATTAGAACCAAAAAATTATGAATTATTATGCTTATTAGGGAATTAA